CCACTCACCCACCCACTCACCCACCCACCCACACCCACTGTCTCTCTCTCTGTCTTGTAGTGCCAATATGGCTCAAGTGAGTGAGTGGACACATCATGTCTGGCACCGATCTCTCTCTCTCTCTCGGTGTCGCCGTTCAGCCATTCTCCACTCGAGTCTTCCTTTCTTGCTCGCTCCCTTACATTTCTCCAACCAACACACTTTTCATTTTCCTGTTGTTGTTGCTGTTGTTGTTGTTGCTGCTGTTGTTGTTGTTCGTTTGTTTCCCAATAGTGGCAGCCTCCTTCTCACCACTGCCCGCTTTGTCAGCTCTTCTGCTGCGTGAAACTTTTCAGCGCCAGGTCAAATCAACAACAAATGAGCCGTCGCCCTGGTGAGCACCGCCCTGCGTGTGTTTCCCAGGTGCGGTGCAGTGCACATCGCCCCTGTGGAGACAAAGGCGAGACTGCGTGCTTGGTGCTGCTCTCCCCACTCACCCCCCTCGTGTGGGGAGATGTTAACCACCTCGCCTCCTGTACGGGAGGTCGTGGGTTCGATCCCAACCCTGACGCCTCGAGATTTGGAGTTTGCGTGTCTCTGTCTCGTGGTCGTGTGGATGAAACATTTAGAAACTTCACGCGTTTAGATCAGGGCTGGGGAACATTTTTCCTGCCATTTGGATATTTGTAACATCGTTCGCGGGCCATGCAAAATGATCAACTTAAAAATTAGCCCGTTATATTTGGTCAAACGTTTAATTAACTCGCCCCTAATGCGATGGCTGGAACTGCTTCTCTTTGGCGAGGCGTGTGATGATGTTAGCTGGTGTTGATGATGTTGCTACTTCATGAGACCTCCTTTGCCAGTACCAAAATATACTAAAAGGGTTTTTCCCCTTTTTTCTGGCAACAAAACTGACACCTTTTGCAAGGAATCATCTTTACATTAACCACAATACTTGCAGTCAAATGCAAACAAAAAAACAATACTCTGACCCCGACTTACGAACCCTCCGACTTACGAGTACCCCCCACTTACGTACGCCCGACTTACAGACATCCCCGACTTACGAACGATTCCGAACTTACAAACGCCCCCGACTTACGAAAGTCCCCGCGCTTACGAACACCCGACTTACGTACGTCCCCGACTTACGTACGCCCCCGACTTACGAACGCTCGCTACTCGCGGAACCGAGGCGTGGGACTATTTTGTTGGGGCGGAGCGATCCTCCGCGCGGCGTGAAGAGTCCCGGCAGCCTGCGAACAGGCGAGCCAGCGTCAGGACTCGGGGTGAGGGAAAATAACATTGGGGTTTTGTTGATCTTTGCACGTTATGGGACCGTCCATAAATGACGTCACGCGATTTTTTACGATTTTTGACCCCCCCCCCCCTTCGTCACACGGCGTCACAAAAAGTCAGACCCCCCCCCCTCAAATATGACGTCACAAAGCTCTGCCCCCCCCCTTCCCCCCAAAAATAAAACATGCTTCAAATCGCTTTAAACTATTGTCATTGTAGTGCGTATTTAATGTGGCGCTGCAATCTGATGTTGTAGGAGACAACATTTATTAAGAAGTCTATTTAATGAAGTAGAACGTGTTGTCTTTATTTAAAGTTGCGCATTCTGATGTGACGTCACATTTCTCACCCCCCCCCCCCCCAGTCACACATCGTCACAATTTCAGTATTGCATCGAAATGTGCAATTTATCTTCTTATTGATTAGTTTAACAACGCTTCGAGCTCCCAGATAGGCACAACTCCAGCTGATGAACAGCTGTCGGGAACGTAAACCAATCGCAGTGGGAGGACTGCCCATAACAAACAACGGTGAACACAGCAGCGGCGTGTGAGCGAGTGGGTGAGGAGGTGAGTGAGTGCGTGGGTGAGTGAGTGAGATGGTGGGTGAGTGGTTGGGTGAGTGAGTGAGATGGTGGGTGATTGAGTGAGTGGGTGAGTGAGATGGTGAGTCGGTGAGTAGGTGAGTGGGTGAGTGAGATGGTGGGTGATTGAGTGAGTGCGTGAGTGAGATGGTGGGTGGGTGAGTGAGCAAGTGGGTGAGGAGGTGAGTGAGTGCGTGGGTGAGATGGTGGGTGAGTGGTTGGGTGAGTGAGCAGGTGAGTGAGTGCGTGAGTGAGATGGTGGGTGAGTGGTTGGGTGAGTGAGCAGGTGAGTGAAATGGTGAGTGAGTGGGTGAGTGAGATGGTGGGTGAGTGAGATGGTGGGTGATTGAGTGAGTGGGTGAGTGATATCGTGGGTGAGTGAGATGGTGGGTGAGTAGGTGAGTGACATGGTGGGTGAGTGAGATGGTGGGTGAGTGAGATGGTGGGTGATTGAGTGAGTGGGTGAGTGAGATGGCGAGTAAGTGGGTGAGTGAGATGGTGGGAGATTGAGTGGATGGGTGGGCGAGTGGTTGAGTGAGATTGTGGGTGAGTGGTTGGGTGAGTGAGTAGGTGAGTGAAATGGTGGGTGAGTGAGATGGTGGGTGACTGATTGAGTGGATGGGTGGGCGAGTGGTTGAGTGAGATTGTGGGTGAGTGAGTAGGTGAGTGAAATGGTGGGTGAGTGAGATGGTGGGTGAGCAAGTGAATGGGTGAGTGAGATGGTGGGTGATTGAGTGGATGGGTGGGCGAGTGGTTGAGTGAGATTGTGGGTGAGTGGTTGGGTGAGTGAGTAGGTGAGTGAAATGGTGGGTGAGTGAGATGGTGGGTGAGCAAGTGAATGGGTGAGTGAGATGGTGGGTGATTGAGTGGATGGGTGGGCGAGTGGTTGAGTGAGATTGTGGGTGAGTGGTTGGGTGAGTGAGTAGGTGAGTGAGATGGTGGGTGAGTGAGATGGTGAGTGATTGATTGAGTGGGTGAGTGAGATGGTGAGTGATTGATTGAGTGGGTGAGTGAGATGGTGGGTGATTGAGTGGATGGGTGGGCGAGTGGTTGAGTGAGATTGTGGGTGAGTGGTTGGGTGAGTGAGTAGGTGAGTGAGATGGTGGGTGAGTGAGATGGTGAGTGATTGATTGAGTGGGTGAGTGAGATGGTGGGTGATTGAGTGGATGGGTGGGCGAGTGGTTGAGTGAGATTGTGGGTGAGTGGTTGGGTGAGTGAGTAGGTGAGTGAGATGGTGGGTGAGTGAGATGGTGAGTGATTGATTGAGTGGGTGAGTGAGATGGTGGGTGATTGAGTGGATGGGTGGGCGAGTGGTTGAGTGAGATTGTGGGTGAGTGGTTGGGTGAGTGAGTAGGTGAGTGAGATGGTGGGTGAGTGAGATGGTGAGTGATTGATTGAGTGGGTGAGTGAGATGGTGGGTGATTGAGTGGATGGGTGGGCGAGTGGTTGAGTGAGATTGTGGGTGAGTGGTTGGGTGAGTGAGTAGGTGAGTGAGATGGTGGGTGAGTGAGATGGTGAGTGATTGATCGAGTGGGTGTGTGAGTTTGCAAGTGAGTCAAGTCGCGTGTTTGGGTAACCATGGTGAAAATTAATTCGAGACGCTAGCATAAAAGTCAAATTCGCAAGGGTCATCGAAATGACTTTTAGTGCAAAAACAAGTTAAAACTAAAGCCAAACACTTTTTTATTTACCAAGTAATCCCCCCTGAGCTATGGAGCTCTGTTGTAGAAGACACCATACACGACTTTATAGTGTAATACACTACACTATACACTACACTATACACTACACTATACACTATATACTACACTATACACTACACTATACACTACACTATATACTACACTATACACTACACTACACACTACACTACTTTATAGTACAATACACTACACTATACACTACACTATACACTACACTATACACTACACTATACACTACACTATACACTACACTATACATTACACTATATACTACACTATACACTACACTATACACTACACTATACACTACACTATACATTACACTATACACTACTACACTACACTATACACTACACTATATACACTGCACTATACACTACACTATACACTACACACTACACTATTATAGACCACACAATAAACGAACTAAATAATTTTAGCTTCCCAGGTAAGCCCCACTGGGTTTATGTCGCATTTTTTTCAGAATCGACCTTCCCGCAAATGATAGCTAAACGAAGAGGCTTGTGGCCACGTGGACATTGACAGCAGCAGCAGCAGCAGCCAAACAATCTGAACTTGTGATGTTGATTCTCCTCTACACGTGGAGGGATCACCGGAGAAACATCCACGCGACCACCAAACACACATACAGCAGGATCGAAACCCACGACCTCCTGTACACCAGGCGAGGTAGTCAACATCTCCTAGCCACGGCGATGATGATGAGAGAGAGAGAGAGACGCAGACTCCACATATACAGCAATTGGCATCGCCAGGGTCGGGATCGAACCCACGACCTCCTGTGTACCAGGCGAGGTAGTCAACATCTCCTAGCCACGGCGATGATGATGAGAGAGAGAGACGCAGACTCCACATATACAACAATTGACATCGCCAGGGTCGGGATCGAACCCACGACCTCCTGTGTACCAGGCGAGGTAGTCAACATCTCCTAGCCACGGCGATGATGATGAGAGAGAGAGAGAGACGCAGACTCCACATATACAGCAATTGGCATCGCCAGGGTCGGGATCGAACCCACGACCTCCTGTGGACCAGGCGAGGTAGTCAACATCTCTCAGTGTCAGGGATCGAACCCACGACCTCCTGTGTACCAGGCGAGGTAGTCAACATCTCCTAGCCACCGTGGTGATGGGAGAGAGAGAGAGAGACACGCAGACTCCAAATATGCAACAGTGGGATCGAACCCACGACCTCCTGCATACAGGGCGAGGGAGGTAACATTCCATCGCCCCTGCATCACGTGGTGAGTGACACTGCGAGCATGGATTGTGGACGTGGTCCTGGTTGTGTGAGATGCCCCCAATCGAAAGCAGGAACTGAACCCCGTGCACCCGGAGGTGTAACCCTTGACTGCAGTGTAGTCAGTGTGCGTGACCGCCTCACTCACCCACTCACTCACCCGCTCACCTGCTCACTCACCCACTCACTCACCTACTCACTCACCCACTCACTCACCCGCTCACTCACCCACTCACCCGCTCACCTACTGACTCATCCACTCACCTACGCACTCACCCACTCACTCACCTACTCACTCACCTACTTACTCACCAGCTCACTCACCCACTCACCTACTCATCCACTCACCTACTCACTCACCTAAAAACCCTCTCACCCGCTTACTCACCTATTCACTCACCTACTCATCCGCTCACTTACCCACTCACATTCTCACTCACGCACCCGCTCACTCACTCACCTACTCACTCACCCACTCACCTACTCACTCACCTAAAAACCCACTCACCCGCACACTCACCTATTCACTCACCTACTCACCCGCTCACTTACCCACTCACATTCTCACTCACGCACCCGCTCACTCACTCACCTACTCACCCGCTCACCTGACTCACATAGTCACCCGCTCACTCACTCACCTATTCACTCACCATCTCACTCATCCACTCAATCTCTACGAGTGTCTGTGTCTCTATGAGTATCTATGCAGCTCTGTGTATGTCTATGTGTATGAGTGTCTATGTGTCTCTATGAGTATCTATGCAGCTCTGTGTATGTCTATGTGTATGAGTGTCTATGTGTCTCTATGAGTATCTATGCAGCTCTGTGTATGTCTGTGTGTGTGTATGTCTATGTGTCTCTATGAGTGTCTATGCAGCTCTGTGTATGTCTATGTGTCTGTATTTCTAGGTATAGCTACCGCTTGAGAGAGATAGAGGAGGGGGGAGAGAAAGGGGGAGGGAGACGTGGGGGGTAATCCCCTACCGAGAAAGAGGAAGACGAGACGAGTTTAGTTTTGAGTCACTCGGGCTCACGACGCAGTGTTTACAACGCATATAAAGAGACACACACAGACACACACAGAGACACAGAGACACACAGACACTCACAGAGACACAGAGATACTCACAGAGACACAGAGACACAAAGACAGAGATACACTCACAGAGACACACACAGATATACACAGACACACACAGAGACACACACACACTGACACACACACATACACACTGACACACACATACACTGACACACAGACACACACTGACACACAGACACTGACACACACACAGACACTGACACACACATACATTGACACACATACGCAGAAACACACGCACAGACAAACACTGACACACACACACCGACACACACACGCACAGAGGCAAAGACGGAAGAGAGAGAGAGAAGAAGAAAGCGCAGTGAGACTGAGACGTAGGGGGTGGGGGGGGGGGTAGCAAGGTGAGAAGAGAGGGCAGAGAGAGAGACCCTGAGACCACTGCTACTGCTGCTGCTCCTGAATGTCGTAGCAGCGGAGACGACGACGACGACGATGGCGTGGAGAGTGGCACTCGCTGGTGAGTGACACCTCGGGGACTGTGCGTGACACGTGCGTGTGTGTGACGTGCGTGTGTGTGCGTGCGTGTGTGTGCGTGCGTGTGTGTGACGGGTGTGTGTGACGGGTGTGTGTGTGTGACGGGTGTGTGTGTGACGGGTGTGTGTGTGTGTGACGGGTGTGTGTGTGTGTGACGGGTGTGTGTGTGTGTGCGTGTGTGTGTGACGGAAAGATCTGGGCAAAGTCCCATCGGTGAGCTCCTCCGGCAGGCAACGCTGCTGCGTTGGCTGGGTGATGTAGCCCGCATGCCCAGCCACCGCATGCCTAAACAGCTTTTGTTCGGTCGGATCGAGGGGGCTAAACGGGCGCGGCACGGGCTAGAGAAGAGATGGAGTGACGTGGTACAGGAGGACGTGGAGCTGAGTGGACTTGCCGATGACTGGTACCAGCGGTGTCAAGATCGGCCTCTGTGGAGGAGGCTCGTGAAGGATGCTACTGGGCAGTTGGAGGCAGTCGCCCTCCAACAACAACGGAGGGCGGAGGATCGACGCTCACAACAACGAGCGGAGCGCTGGGCGGATAAAACGCAGCGAGTTGGCACAGTAGAGGGCACAGGTGGTGCATCTGCCAGTCATCTCAGTCAGCCAACCCATGGCACCTGCTGGGTCTGTCCCGTGACCTCCCATCCGAGAAGTGCACCTAGCCTGGCACAAACGTTGTGGTGACCTCACCGCCACTTAGTGGCGAATGGCGGTTGTTGTTGTGGACCGCCACCTCGTGGTGGCTGTGTGCAGTCAATCTCTGTCACTCATCTCGGAGGGGGGCCGCAATCCGAAGAGCTACTAAGCTCTTTATCCATAATAGTGAGGAGGATTTCTCCACAACTCTGGGCTGGTTGTTGTTGTAATTACTGGCGAAACGTCACAATACTCGAATTGTAAATGTATAGTGTAGTGTATTGTGTAGTGTATAGTGTAGTGTATAGTAGTGTATAGTGTAGTGTATAATAGTGTATAGTGTAGTGTATAGTGTAGTATACTAGTACAACACTAGTGTATAGTGTAGTGTATAGTGTAGTGTATAGTGTAGTGTAGTGCCGTGTGGGTACTTTCCAGACTGTACACCATGCAACAATTATAAAAAATACACTTTTGTGTTTTCTTGGGGGGGGGGGAGCTCAATAATGCAGAGATTTTTTGCACGGCAAGTGAGCTGTGACGTCACATCTGTCACGTGACCCGCGCGTGTAGAAGCGTAACGCATTGTAGTGTAGTGGTTAGTGCACTGTGTGTGTGTCTGTGTGTGTGGGGGGAGCGGTGGTGTAGTGGTTAGCGCTACGCCGCGCTACGAACCCGGCGACCCGAGTTCAATTCCCGCTCACGGCCACCACCGGTGACGATTATTTCAACCGCTCCTGGGCCTCCCCTAGGTCGACTCAGCCTCAAACGAGTAACTGGTGCTGTGTGTGAACATCGCCACTGGGGAGACAAAGGCGGCCGGGTGTGGTGAATCCAAGTCCCGGGCGCAGCCAGGTAGTAGTGCAGCTAGTGGGTTATATAGACCGAGGTTCATATATCATCACTCTCCGTGCTCTGCGTAGCGAGATGTCATCTTCCTCGCCTCGTATGCAGGAGGTTGTAGGTTCGATCGTGACCCTGACAATTATTGTTGTTTTTTCGCGTCTTTCTCTCTCTCTTTGTGACCAGGTCGCTTCTGAAATAAACTACTTTAAAAACAGTTTAACACGTGGCAGGCTTTCGCAACCAATATTATTCATAATCAACGTTTTTGGGTGTTAGATCGCGTTATTTATAAATGTGTCGTAACCCTCCACCACCAGACACGGCCAATCAGTAAAAAAGTGTCACGTTGACAAAAGACAAATAGTTCACTGCTTTAGCCCACCGGTGTGTTGAAGCGTGAAACCACAACATTTACAATCTGAGTACGACGTTTCGTTGATGCTGGATGCAATTACCAGCGAAACGTCGTGCTACTCAAATTGTAAATGTTGTGGTTTCACGCTTCAACACACCGGTGGGCTAAAGCAGTGAACTATTTGTCTTTTGTCAACGTGACACTTTTTTACTGATTGGCCGTGTCGGGTGGTGGAGGGTTACGACACATTTATAAATAACGCGATCTAACACCCAAAAACGTTGATTACTTTAAAAACGTCTTTTTTTAAAGCAACGGTTTTATTAACAACTTCGTTTAACTCGCGGTCGAGAAGTCCGTTAATGGCGCCCGCGGCACGTGGCGCCTGCTTCGTGTGCGAGCCGATTCCACAGTTTAGGGACCGTGGCGTTTTGACCGACACACAAATATATATAAATACAACATGTCAATTGCTTTAAAGTAGCGAATTAATCGATTAATTGATGTCGATTTTTCTACAGGCATGTATTGTCACCGGATCTGAGTCCGCGTGCGAAATTTGGAATTGATTTGACAATGGGAAGTTGACTAAATGTTGATGACAAGATTTGACCACGACAAGCAAGTGAAAGCGTTGAAAAAGAGCTACACAACTCAGTGGGCTTTAGCTGGCAAATACAATAACGTAGTTTATTGTTGTGTAGTGTATAGTGTAGTGTATAGTGTAGTGTATAGTATAGTGTATAGTAGTGTATAGTATTGTAGTGTGTAGTAGTGTGTATGTGTATCGTAGTGTAGTGTGTAGTAGTATTTATGTGTATAGTATTGTAGTTGAAGTTCAAGTTCATTTATTAGGTATAGCCCTGTGAGCCATTCGGCTCTTGAATCGGGTGCAACCGCAACAAACAAAAAAAACATGAACAAAAAACATCTTAAAGTGAATATGTGACTATGTGTATAGTATTGTAGTGTATGTTGAACTTCTTTTGCACCCTATGTAGCCATTCATTCACCCACTCGTTCATTCACGTATTCACTCAACCACTCACCAAACGCACTATTCAATCGCCCACACACCCACCCGCTCAATCACCGACTCACCCACCCACACAGGGCTCATTCCCTCACTCACCCACTCACTCACCGCCTACCCGTACACTCACTCACGTATTCACTCACTCACCCACTCACTCACCGCCCACTCGTTCACTCACTCACGTACTCACTCACCAAACGCACTACTCATTCACCCGCGTATCCACTCGCTCATTGATTCACCCTCTAACTCACCTGCTCACTCCCTCATCAAACTCACCCCTCGGCTCTCTTGCCATCGCTCAGCTGGGTCAACGTGGCCTAATTCTAGATTTGAAGCTTTCGTGACTGCAATGATTCATACTCTTAGTTCTTTCGGTAAAGTCACGTAGTAAAATTTTTAATTAAAATTCATAAAAATAAAACAATAAAATCACGACGTTTCGGAGGCAACACAAGTCTCCATCATCAGGTGGGACCGTCACAGCCAAACTTGCTGCATCAGCAGCAAATCTGGCTGTCATCAAGTGATGCAGCCAATCTGGCTGTGACGGTCCCACCTGATGACGGAGACTTGTGTTGCCTCCGAAACGTGATGATTTTATTGTTTTATTTTTATTAATTTTAATTACATTTTTTACCTACACGGTGACTTTACCGAAAGAACTAAGAGTAACAACGTGGCCTGTTGCTCACGCGTCTTCCCAGCAGAGGTCGCAACCGGGTACCCGATACCCGTACCCTACCCGATACCCGTACCCTACCCGATACCCGGCTACCCGTACCCGGCCGGGTACGGGTAGCCGGGTACGGGTAGCCGTTTGCGATCCTGGTGCGGCCGGGTACGGGTAGGCCGTGAGTCACCGGTGAGTTACCGTTTGTCACTCATTTCGGATAGGGTACGGGTAGGGAACGGGTACGGGTACCCATTTGCGACCCTGGTGCGGCTGGGTACGGGTAAGGAATCAAAACCCGTTTGCGACCTCTGCTTCCCAGTGCTCGCTCTGCAGGTCTCTGCGGTCCTGGCTGACACTGAAGAGGTCGAGGGCGACCTGGGATCGTCCGTGCGCCTGCCCTGCCACTTTGATCGAACCAAGGACGTCGCTGCGATCAGCGTGCAGTGGAAATGGCTTCGAGATGGTGACGAATTCCAGGTAAAAGCAACAACAACAGCAGCAACAGCAGCGATGTGAGATGTCATCTCCCTCGCCTGGTGTGCAGGAGGCGGTGGGTTCGATCCCGACCCTGACGCTTCTTGTATATCTTCTTGGTTCTTTCGGTAAAGTCACGTAGAAGGGAAGTAATACAATAATAAAAATAAAACATAATAAAATAATTCTCACGACGTTTCGGCCACAACGCAAGCAGCCGTCCTCAGGTGAAGAAACGGCTGCTTGCGTTGTGGCCGAAACGTCGTGAGAATTGTATATTTTATTATGTTTTATTTTTATTATTTTATTATTTCCCTTCTACGTGACTTTACCGAAAGAACCAAGAAGATGAATCCCTGCAGTCACGAAAGCTTTAAATCGCTTCTTGGATATTTGGGGTTTGCGTGTCTCTCTCTCCCCGTGGTCGCGTAGCTTATCTCTGGGTCCCTCGGTTTTTTTCCCCTCCACTGTTTTAGAATCGACATCCGTAGGCATTCATAATTAAGGTTTTTGTTGGGTTAGATCGCGTTATTTATCAATGTGGAAGATTTGGCCCCCCCCCAGAAAAAAAAAAATCTAAATTTGAAAACGAATTTCCTGCCTAAAATATAAAAAAATTTCACTAGCACATGGGATGGACTTTTCATTTATGTTGTACAATAATGTCTAATAGTATATTGTTTTACATTGCTCTGTCTTTACTTTTTTAAAATCCTTTATATTAAGTTCACTTGCTTGCTTGCGCGCTTACGACCGTGCAAATCTTTCGGTCGTTTTTTAACCCACTTCCCGTGATCCAATCGAGCTGATATTTTGCACACAGACTCGTTGTGCGTGACAATTTTTTTCGTAAAAATGTTTTTCCAAAATATTCCACTTTTTAGGGAAAAAAAATTAAATCCTTTATATTAAGTTGACTTGCTTGCTTGCGCGCTTACGACCGTGCAAACCTTCGGTCGTTTTTTTAACTCACTTCCCGTGATACAATTGAGCTGACATTTTGCACACAGACTCGTTGTGCGTGACAATTTATTTTCGTGAAAAAAATTCAAAAAATTTCCACTTTTTAGGAAAACATTTTTTTCATATTTAATTTCAAATACCAATGTGATAAAAATAAAACTCTTATTCAAGAAAAACAGAAATGAATAATAAAATAAAACCGATGCCACGCATATAAAGGATTTATAGTGAAAAACTTTGTTTTTACGGGTTAATTTTTTTACCATTTCTTGTTTCGTTGTATGTAATGGCAGAGATTAGGGATTAATAACGTACAACCGTAACCACAATAATACAAACAGAAATCTATGCGTTGTTATATGAAGACAAGTCAAGATATTGTGGGCCAAGGTTTAGCAAATTGTTGTTTTTATTTACATAGCATGGGCAATTATTATTTTTAAATATTTTTGAGAACAATATATTGGGGGGGAACATTTTGAGCATATTTGAATATTGTAATTAAATAATATAATTACGGCCTTGCTGTGTTTATACATTATATATATGGATGGCTTCATGGACAAATTTTGATGGTAGCCCGAAGGTTTGCAGAGTATCTTGGTCTCTGCAAAAGCAATATTGTGTGAACCGTATACGAATGTACAGAGCTGGCAATCAACGCTTTGTGCAATTGGCAGGAGGATTTCTCCACAACTCTGGGTTTTTGCCTGGTGATGGTGGTTGTTGTTGCTGTTGTAATTACCGGCGAAACGTCACGGCTCTTGAATTTCGATTTAAAGCTTTCATGACTGCAGGGATTCATATTCTGGCTTCTTTCGGTAAAGTCACGTAGAAGGGAAATAATAAAATAAAACAATAAAATTCTCACGACGTTTCGAATGCAACACAAGCAATCATCATCAGGTGTGAAAACCACAGCAATAATTTTTTTTTAAAAAGTGGCGTTTTTTCTTCTGAATTTTAATTGTAAATGTTGGAGTGGATGCGAGTCAGTGACTGCTTTAGTGTTAAAATATGGTGCTGTATTTTTAGGATAGTGTGTTTATAATATAATTTTATGTAGATATCCACATTTATTTAATATTTTTCTTCCGCAGTTTTTATTGAAAATGCAATATTTGACATCTCAAAAACCTGATGTGATAGACTAAAACTGACGCCAGATTTGGAAATCAGCACCCCAAAATTACCTTAAAACCGTTGAAATACCTTATGCCAGAAAAAGTGTGTTGACCAGTGTAATCATCAATGCCCTCTATGTGTCGTTGTCCTCTCCTCCCTTGTTGATCCCATTTTAAAGATCCTCTACTATCACAACAGGCTGAAGCGCAAAACGGAGCGCGTGATTTGGGAAGGCGATCTGAGCGCGGGAGAAGCGGGCATCGAACTCATCGAGCTGAGCCATGACGACGGAGGCTCGTACACCTGTGAAGTGATTGACATGGCGGAGAACAAACAGCACAAGGCCACCGTTCGCCTGACGATCCGTGAGCCGGGCAGCAACGTCGAGCAATCAGGTACCAAACTTACCGAGGGTCACGTTTGAAAAGTTCCCGGGAAGTGTTTTGAATGCAAAATGATTAATATTTTATAGCATAGAATGTAACTTGCATGGTAAATGTATTTAATATAGTACACAATATACTGTATCCGTGTACGGTATGGAGAATAGAGGGAGACAAGACCAGAGGTCGCAAACGGGTTTTGATTCCTTACCCGTACCCGTACCCGGCCGCACCAGAGTCGCAAATGGGTACCCGTACCCGGCCGGGTACGGGTAGCCGGTTATCGGGTAGGGTACGGGTATCGGGTACCCGGTTGCAACCTCTGGACAAGAGTGAGACGAGAGAGAGACGAGAGGGAGAGATGAGAGAGAGACACACCAGTAGCAGCATCATCGCGAGCAGCGCAGTTGCGACACCGTGCGGGAATCTTGCGGTCGACTGCTTATGCTCGAATTGCCACGAGGTCACGCGATCCGTGTCAAGCTGTAGACAAAGTTCATTTTCAAAGTTCGTGTATTAGGTGTAGCCCTATGAGCCATTCGGCTCTTGAATCGGGTGCAACCGCAACAAACAAAAACACAAAAACATGAACAAGAAAACATCTTAAAGTGAATATGTGACTAAGTGCAAACAGAAAATCCAAGAAAAGACAGCAAAATATTGCAGAAAAAATCACCGTACACCAACCCTGTGCAAATATCCCAGTGGGATGCAAGTCAAACAACAACAACCACAAGACAACTTAGATTAAGGCCATCAGTCTAACTCTGTACTACAACAAACAAACATGGCCAAACCAAAAAACTTTTCGAAAATCACCAAAATAAAGCCATGAAAGCAATGAAACAGTGATCATAGGAACTGTGACCGAATTTTCACAATAAACGACGTGAACAACACGTACTACCAAACTCTTCTCATTCCTGTTGTTGCACCGTGTACAACTGTAATACAGCTCGTTAAGGCGACTTCTGGAATCCGTCTTTTATTCAACTTGTATTACAGTTTCCTGCACGCTGCTGACAGGCAGCGTGAGAGGGACAGATAGAGAGAGAGACGCACACCGCCACGTGGCAACCCGGAGCCCCGCTCCCGCGTGGCCCCCTTCCTCTGTTCGTTCCCGTTCTGACCACGTGTCGTTCGTCTCCAGCCCTATTTAATACTCGGGTCACGTGGTACGTTTCCACCAATCCTGGTTAGCCTCCATGGAATATTCCAGGCCCCTTCGTAAGCTCCCGGGACCACGCCCCTGACTCGTCTCCCCATTGGCTGTGGCCAAAGCCAGCAGAACCAATCCCCTACTTACAGCTGTCACCTTTCCATTACGTCATGGCCACGCCCCTAGGCTTCCCCCCATTGGCTATGGACCAGGACCAGCAGAGCCAATCACCATGACGAGTTGTGATACGTCATTGAGTCGGATATATCCTCACATTACACAACAACAAGCCTCGCTTTGTAAGACGCCGCCCTAAGACAATTGATGCGTTCACATTGATGCTTATTCATATTCTTAGGTTTTTTCGGTAAAGTCACGTAGGTAAAGAATTAAAATTAATAAAAGTAAAATAAAAATAAAATAAAAATCACGACGTTTCGGAGGCAACACAAGCTTCCGTCTTCAGGTGGAACCGTCACAGCACGACAGCTGTATCAAGTGATACACAGCACGACTGCTGCATCAAGTGAGAGAAATTCCAAGAAAACAGTCCTTGTATATATACTGGTTGAGGGTGGGAGGAGCCAAGGTAGGCCCTGGATATTATTTTATTTTTTATTTTATTTTTTATAATATCCAGGGCCTACCTTGGCTCCTCCCACCCTCAACCAGTATATATACAAGGACTGTTTTCTTGGTATTTCTCATTTACTTGATACAGCAGTCATGGCTGTGACGGTTCCACCTGAAGACGGAAGCTTGTGTTGCCTCCGAAACATCGTGATTTTTATTGTATTTTTTATTTTACTTTCATTAACTTAAATTTTTTAACTACGTGACTTTACCGAAAAAACCTAAGAATATGAATCCTTGCAGTCACGAAAGCTTCAAATCTAGAACACATTGACGCTCTGTGAGCCCCGTTGAGAGTGGCAAGCAGCCACTCCGCTCCTCCTCACGTCTTGTGTCTTTTTGTTATTTGCAGATCCGCCGGCTGTCCCTGCAAACCAAAGATCGGAAGCAGGTAAACTTCGATGGAGAGGTCGCATCCTCTTCTCGTTTGCTCCTCTGTCTGTCTGTGTGTGTGGTGTGTATTCGGCACAGCGGGGCAGCGGTGGTGCGGAGGCCATAGCATAGATGTTGAACTTTTACACCATTGGAACCTCATTTGCCAGTAAAAAAATATGATAATTGTTTTTTTACCCTTCTGCCTGGCAACAAAACTGACACCTTTTTTTACAAGGAGTCATGTTTGCATAGACCACAATACCTGCAGTTATAATGCAAACAAAAAACACAACTCTGATAATGTATGCACTGTCCTTGAAGTTGATTGGTCCACACGCCTTTTGGCTTCATCCGGTCCAACCCATGTGAGACTAGGCTCTAAGGAAAGCTGTCTCGGGTGTGGACCAATCAACTTCAAGGACATTGCCTACATTACGCTTGCGTCCCATTCCCAATTAGTCACATATTCACTTTAAGATGTTTTCTTGTTCATGTTTTTGTGCTTTTGTTTGTTGCGGTTGCACCCGATTCAAGAACCGAATGGCTCACAGGGCTACACCTAATACATGAAACTTGAACTTGATGCCTCGTTGTCCCGTGTCTCGCAGAGGTAAGCAGCGGAAAGAACGTCGCCACCATCATCGCCGTCACCTCGCTCTGCGTGATCATCCTTATCGGCAGCCTGGTCTACGTCAAGTGGAGGACCAACAGAACGAGGGCGTTGGCGGCGAGCTACAAGTCCGTGAATCTGGGTGACCACGGCCAGGGTCGGGGTCCGAACGCTCCGGGCGGGGACGGTGGCGGTCGAGCGCTCGTGACCATCACCGTCATGGACGGGAGCTACGGCGGCTCCCAGGTGAAGCAGGTCTCCGTGTAGTGATTCTCGGCACGGAGCCAGACGGAGGGAGAAGTCGGCAAAACGAACAACCCCTGCGGAGATGGAGCCTGAAGAAATCGGCTTCGTTACCCCTTCGCAGCAATAATGGAGGATGGGGTGGTGGTGGTATCAGATGTTCAGACATCAACTAGACACCGAGTATTGCAATTGAAGTCCGCCTTAACCACACGAACATGCTCGTGGTGAAATATGCAACCTCTATCACTACCTCCTATCACTGCCCCTATCACTGCCCCTATCGCTACCCCCATCACGATCTCCTATCACGATCTCCTATCACTACCACTATCGCTACCCCCATCACGATCTCCTATCACTACCCTTATCAATACCCCCATCACGATCTCCTATCACGATCTCCTATCACTACCACTATCGCTACCCCCATCACGATCTCCTATCACTACCCTTATCAATACCCCCATCACGATCTCCTATCACTACCCCTATCGCTACCCCCATCACGATCTCCTATCGCTACCCCCATCACGATCTCCTATCACGACCCTTATCAATACCCCCATCACTATCTCCTATCACTACCCCTATCGCTATCCCCATCACGATCTCCTATCACTGCCCCTATCGCTACCCTCATCACGATCTCCTTTGACTACCCTTATCAATACCCCCATCACGATCTCCTATCACTACCCCCATCACGATCTCCTATCACTACCCCTATCACTACCCCCATCACTATCTCCTATCACGACCCTTATCAATAACCCCATCACGATCTCCTATCACGACCCTTATCACTACCCCTATTGCCACCCCCATCACAATCTCCTATCACTACCCCTATTGCCACCCCCATCACTATCTCCTATCACGACCCTTATCAATACCCCCATCACGATCTCCTATCACTACCCTTATCACTACCCCTATTGCCACCCCCATCACGATGTCCTATCACTACCCCTATTGCCACCCCCATCACTATCTCCTATCACGACCCTTATCAATAACCCCATCACGATCTCCTATCACGACCCTTATCACTACCCCTATTGCCACCCCCATCACAATCTCCTATCACTACCCCTATTGCCACCCCCATCACTATCTCCTATCACGACCCTTATCAATACCCCCATCACGATCTCCTATCACTACCCTTATCACTACCCCTATTGCCACCCCCATCACAATCTCCTATCACTACCCCTATTGCCACCCCCATCACTATCTCCTATCACGACCCTTATCAATACCCCCATCACGATCTCCTATCACTACCCTTATCACTACCCCTATTGCCACCCCCATCACAATCTCCTATCACGACCCTAACCCCTATCACTACCCCTACCCCATCACCACAACCCCACTTTTCTTTATTTTAACCAGGGGGAGGGTAACTCTAGGATTAGGGGTTTATGTGTTTCTCTGATAACACAGTGGAATCAGCGGTAGGCTGACTATTGTAGGGGTTTATAGGAATACGGGTTTATAGATCTGCTCTGATAGCACGTGGGTGAGTATTGTTCCTGTTGTTTGATAATTTTTTCATTGATTTCACATATTTCTCTTTTCTAACACATTCCTGCGGAGGGAGCTGGTAGGAACGTTGGGTTGCTCGGTCAATGGCCAGGGTCAACGGCGGCCTGGTGTGTTCCGCAAATATGGCCGACTGTGAGGGCGGGGTGAAACGTTGAGTTTTATAAGGGCACCACGGGGTGACCAGCCCCTCCCTCCCCACCCAGCCCCACCCCTCCCACCCCCCACCCTCCCCACCCCACCCTCACCACCCAGCCCCTCCCCGCCCTCCCCACCCAGCCCCTCCCCACCCAGCCCCACCCCCCACCCAGCCCCTCCCCACCCTCCCCTCCCCACCCAGCCCCTCCCCACCCAGCCCCTCCCCACCCAGCCCCACCCAGTCCCTCCCCACCCTCCCCTCCCCACCCAGCCCCTCCCTGCACGACGGACACAATAACCCCCCGTGGGCTGGTGTAACCAGGAGGTTCCTACCAGTATGATTTGGATCAACAATAGAGAAGATATCCGCGTGTAATCGTGTACGCAGCGAGTTATCTGTTACTGTGGAATGTACAATTAATAAACAAAAACACAATCAGATCCTGTCCATCTCGTTCGCATGTCTGCTTCGACACACGACAAACATTCAAGCATTTCCTTTACCCATCCCATCGGCCGCCACAGTCAGATCTCAGCAGCACCGAGTCCGTACGCAGCGGAAGTACCGAGTGGTTGCCAGCTCACAGCGCCCAGTTCTATTTCCCGTCGTGGCACCCAGTCTCCCTGCTCTCTCTGGCTGTGGGGGACCCTGTGGAGCCCCGTGTGTGACCCTGTGTGTGTAGGGCTTTGTGTGTGGGGCCCTGTGTGTGGCCTTGTGGGGCCCTGTGGGGCCCTGTGTGTGTGACCCTGTGGGGGCCTGTGTGTGTTACCCTGTGTGGGGGCCTGTGTGTAGGGCACTGTCTGTGGGGCTTTGTGTGTAGGGCCCTGCGTGTGTGACCCTGTATGTAGGGCCCTGCGTGTGTGACCCTGTGTGTGGCCTTGTGGGGGCCTGTGTGTGTGACCCTGTGTGGGGCCTTCTCTGTACTCTGTGTGTGACCCTGTGTGTGGCCTTGTGGGGCCCTGCGTGGGGCCTGTGTGTGTGACCCTGTGTGTGGCCTTGTGGGGCCCTGTGGGAGCCTGTGCGTGGCCCTCTCTCCCTCTCTCCCGGCCCAATCAGCGGAGAGCTTGGCCAGCCTCCCGTCTCCCGCCCGCCATTGGACGAGCTTCTCGTGTTGGTAGAATGTCATCGTTGTGTTACAGAGCTCAAGTTATTTTACAACGGGGGCGGGTCCCAATATACGTCGGGGTTAGGGACAGAGGTCGCAACCGGGTACCCGATACCCGTACCCTACCCGATACCCGGCTACCCGTACCCGGCCGGGCACGGGTAGCCGTTTGCGACCCTGGTGCGGCTGGGTACGGGTAGGCCGTGAGTCACTGGTGAGTAACCGTTTGTCACCCATTTCGGGTAGGGTACGGGTAGGGAACGGGAACCCGTACCCGGCCGGGTACGGGTAACCCATTTGTGACCCTGGTGCGGCCCGGTACGGGTACGGGTAAGGAATCAAAACCCGTTTGCGACCTCTGCCCCAAGTTGTCCGACTCTTTGACAGTTTCATGCACTGCCGGGCATCCCGTGCCAAGGCAAACCTCAGTATTTGGTGATGTGTTCACTGAATTAGGAATACTACTGCGTGTTAATGGGAGGGGGGGGTAGGGAGTGTAAACACTTGTCTATGGCGACGAAAAGCGGGGCACGTCCATAAGAAACGCGGTAGGGATAGGGGCTGTAACTTAGGGAAATCTGTTGTATTATCTGGGTCTTTCGGTAAAGTCACGGAGATAGGTTGAAAGAAAATAACAAAAAACTACGACGTTTCGATCACAACGCAAGCGATCGTCATCAGGAGGGAAAAAAAGCCGTGTTGTGTTTCATACCTCGCAACCAAAATACGTACTTTGCATGTTTCAGAAAACCAGGCAGTGGACATGTAACAGTACACGCATTATATTGTATTACACATAATGAACATATTTACAACCAATTCCGAGTTCAAGAACCTTTAAACGGAATTTGATACCTAACACGATCTTAAACAGCGTTGAAAAATATTTTACCCGATCCTATCCCTGGATGTTTACGTTCTAGAAGCCAAACCGTGCCCGAAAGCTGTCAAACAATCCACGGGTGGCCTTGAATGATTGATACTTGTGCTGCTTCTTCCTCTCCCAACTTGTTTTTCAAGTCGTCATACAAGCCCAGGGCCTTCTCCTGAACGAAGGGCCAAATACGCGCTAAGGTTGCACGCATTACACACACAAAGTGCTCGCCCCAAATGAATCTGGGGTTCCTTGCCGATCTCGTCAAGGATCATAAACCATCACGTGAACTCCGGTCATCCTCACAGCGCAGAGGTCGCAACCGGGTACCCGATACCCGTACCCTACCCGATACTCAGCTACCCGTACCCGGCCGGGTACGGGTACCCGTTTGCGACCCTGGTGCGGCCGGGTACGGGTAGGCCGTGAGTCACTGGTGAGTAACTGTTTGTCACTCATTTCCCAACGTTTTGTCTTTTCTCACAATTCAAGTTCCTAGAATCAACCCACCCGCGCCTGCAACATGGCTTCATCCCAGAGGTCGCAATCGGGTACCCGATACCCGTACCCTACCCGATACCCGGCCGGGTACGGGTAGGGTACGGGTATCGGGTACCCGTTTTCGACCCTGGTGCGGCCGGGTACGGGTAAGGAATCAAAACCCGTTTGCGACCTCTGTCAAGGCTGCAGCGGATTTTGGCTCGGCCATCGAACAAAGACGGCGCTTTCAGATGCGCTTCTGCGGCCGTCTGGAACGCTCTTCCTTCCGATGTTTGGAAGCCACTGGAGCTTTATGCACTTAGAAATCTGAATGTTCAATATTTCTTCAGAACTGCTTTTTGTGATTAGTTTTGTTATCCTTGCCCCGCAACTCTAATTGGCATGAGGGAGCGTCCATAAATGACGTCACGCACCTGGGGGGGGGGGGGGTCAGATATTTGTGACGATGTGTGACGAGCGGGGGGGGGGTGGGTTTGATTTGACGTCACATCAAAGAGGTTCAACAACAACAACCGCCATTCGCCACAAAGTGGCGGTGACATCACCACGACGCTTGTGCCAGGCCATGTGCACCTTGAGGCCACGTGAAATGTCAAACGCTCGCTGGCAGGAGGTCACGGGGCAGACCCAGCAGGTGCCACGGGTCGACTGACTTGAGATGACCGAGATGACTGGCTGATGCACCACCTGTGCCCCCTACCGTGCCAACTTGCTGTGCTTTAGCCACCCGGCGCTCCGCTCGTTGTTGTGAGCGTCGCTCCTATGCCCTCCGTTGTTGTTGGAGGGCGACTGCCTCCAACTGCCCAGTAGCGTCCTTCACGAGCCTCCTCCACAGAGGCCGATCTTGACACCGCTGGTACCAGTCATCGGCAAGTCCACTCAGCTCCACATCCTCCTATACCACATCACTCCATCTCTTCTCTAGCCCGTGCCGCGCCCGTTTAGCACCCTCGGTCCGGCCGAACAAAAGCTGTTTGGGCATGTGGTGATTGGGCATGTGGGCTACATGGCCCAGCCAACGCAGCCTTGCCTGCCAGAGGTGCTCACCGATGGGAGTGTGTCCAGATCTTTCGAGGATTTGTGAGCTCCTCACACAATCCAGCCTGGTTAAACCCAGGATGGATCGTAGGCAGGCCAGGAAACCCACAGCAAGAAAATGTGTGCAAGAAAATGTGTGCAAGAAAATGTTAGCGAGAAAATGTTTGCAAGAAAATGCTTGTAAGAAAATGTTTGCGAGAAAATGTTTGCGAGAAAATGTTTGCTGTGGTTTTCCCACCTGATGACGATTGCTTGTGTTGCGATCGAAACGTCGTGGTTTAATTTATTTTCTACCTACGTGACTTTACCGAAAGAACCAAAAAGTATGGATCCATGCAGTCACGAAAACTTCAAATCTAGATTGGTTAATGCAGTACTAGATTCCTTGCAAAGGTGATCTATTTGGGATTTGAACATCTGAGCACCTCCTGTGTTATTGCCAAAGAGAAAAACCTCTAAAAAATGTGTCAAACACACGCGCAACTTTGCATTTCTCAAAACACAATCGCCAACTCGGACACAACCAGTAGAACAATTCGGCCACCACGCGTGTCCACCTAAAAACATTTTATTTCAACTCTAAAGCTTCTTTTGAACAGGAATACTGCCTGAGACGATACAGCGAGTTTAAGCCGGCGTCAATTTCTAAGGCATCAACAATGTAACCATCGTACTACGCACGCGCCCACTTACAAACTTAAGCAAAGTATAACAAAGACCATACTCTTAGGTTTTTTCGGTAAAGTCACGTAGGTAAAAATAAATAATAAAAGTTATATAAATAATAATAGAAATAAAATTATAAATCATTATAATTGTATTCCTATTATTTTTTATTTTTTTTATTTTTTTACCCGTTTGCGACCCTGGTGCGGCCGGGTACAGAATTAAGTGACCGCCACCTTCACGAGTGTGCACTTGAAATCTTGACTACACACACACCTGCTTACACACACACCTGCTTTAAAAATGGATTTTACTCTGTTTAACACGTAGGAGGTTTTCGCGACCAATCTTATTCATAAAATGATTTTTTGGGGGTTAAATCGCTCAAGTATAAATGTGTCGTAACCCTCCACCACCCTGCAAAGTTTATCGCGTAAACAAAACGCAGCAATTAGTTACTACTTCAACCCACCGGCGTGTTGGAGAGTAAATCCACAACATTTACAAAATGCTAAAAATTGCAAATCTCGTGGATTCAATCTTGATTTGAAGCTTTCGTGACTGCTGGAATCCATACACTTTGGTACTTTCGGCAAAGTCACGTGACTTTATCAAAAGTACCAAAAAGTACTTGTGGATTTACTCATCAACACACCGGTGGCTAGTCGTAGTAGTAAACTGGCACGTTTTATTTACATGACAAACCTTACTGGCTGTGTCAGGTGGTGGAGGAGGGTGATGTCACAAACTCACCCAACTAGCTGTACTACCCGGCTTCGCCCGGGACTTGGATTCACCACGCCCGGCCGCCTTTGTCTCCCCAGTGGCGATGTTCACACACAACACCAGTTACTCGTTTGAGGCTGAGTCGATCTAGGGGAGGCCCAGGACCGGTTAAAATAATCGTCACCGGTGTTGGCCGTGAGCGGGAATCGAACTCGGGTCGCCGGGTTCGTAGCGCGGCGCGCTAACCACTGCACCACCGCTCCCCCCACACACACACAGACACACACAACGCGCTAACCACTACACTACAATGCGTGACGCTTCCACACGCGCGGGTCACGTGACAGATGTGACGTCACAGCTCACTTGCCGTGCAAACAATCTCTGCATTATTGAGCTCCCCCGCCCCCCCCCCAAAAAAACAAAAGTGTATTTGTATAATGTTTGCATGGTGTGCAGTCTGGAAAGTATCCACACGGGAAATTTCAAGTTTGTTGCATGTCGTGAAGTACGCTAAACATTTTGAACAGACACACATACTCACAACTTTGCCTTTTAGATCTATGGAGAAAAACCTGTGAGGCTTTTACGCTTTAGTTATTTTCTGTCTTTCCTTGGTTGACGTCAATTCTTCTTTACATCATTTGCATGCGTAAGCACCCAAAAGAACAATCCTTTAAGGGAGCTTGATACATTTACATTATCATTATTCCACCATTGGAACCTCATATGCTGACCCCGAGCTCTCATACTCTGATGGTGCATTGTCTTTGAGTTGTGCGCCTTTTGGCGTCATCTGGTCCAACCCATGTGAGACTAGGCTCTAAGGAAAGCTGTCTCGGGTGTGGACCAATCAACTTCAAGGACAGTGCAATACATGATCAGGGTTGTGTTTTTTGTTTGCATTCCGACTGCAGGTATTGTGGTCTATGCAAACATGACTCCTCGTAAAAAAGGTGTCAGTTTTGTTGCCAGATAAAAGGGTAAAAAACCAATTATCATTATTGTTGTTGTTTGTTACGAGAAGGGGCTCGCAGAATGCTTTCCTGGGGAAAAAGTGCTGCGTCAAGCGAAAAACGCCCTCAGCGTCAAAAACACACGATGCCATCATAACCACTCCTAACAACGTGGACACCGTGTGGCGAGGTGCGATGTCGCCACTACCACTAACCTAACCGCGTCGCTCAAGAAAGTAGTTCGTTCTAGATTTGAAGCTTTCGTGACTGCAAGGATTCATATTCTTGGGTTTTTTCGGTAAAAGTCACCACGTAGGTAAAAAATTTAAATTAATAAAAGTAAAATAAATTAAAAATCACATGATTTTTATTTTACTTTTCATTAATTTTTTTACCTACGTGTGACCTTACCGAAAAAACCCAATAATATACAGTAGTTCGTCGTCCACCGCTCGGCAACCGCATTATAACGGTGGCCACGATCCGCGTTATAACAGAGGACGCGTCCCGGATTGCACCTGCGATTAGCACGGTTGACCCACAGTACGGTCCCAGACATTCAACATACAAACGCGCATTATAACGGGGTTGTGCATTATAGCGGCGTGCATTCCACGTCATTATAACGGCGTTCGTTTCCGCGCCGTGTGCGGTTCGCGTTCCACGTTATAACGGTGGGCACGTCCCGCATTGCACCAATTAGAATGGCTGGCTACATACGGTACACGACAGAAGTTCAACATAAAACATACATACACGCGTCATTACGGGTTGTGCGTTACAGCGGCGCTCGCCTCATCGTTATAACAGTGCTCATTCCGCGTCATCATAACAGTGCACGTCTCCATGTTATTGCGGGGGTATCGTTGGGTGCGAAGCGCCATCTCCAACTCAGCCGGTAGTACCGGCCACGTGTCAATAGGGGGCGGAAGAGCGGCTGAGCCAGAGGTCGCAACCGGGTACCCGATACCCGGCTACCCGTACCCGGCCGGGTACGGGTACCCGTTTGCGACCCTGGTGCGGCCGGGTACGGGTAGGCCGTGAGTCACCGGTGAGTAACCGTTTGTCACTCATTTCCCAACATCTTGTCTCTTCTCACAATTCAAGTTCCTAGAATCTACCCACCCACGCTGCATCCCAGAGGTCGCAATCGGGTACCCGATACCCGTACCCTACCCGATACCCGGCCAGGGTACGGGTACCCGGGTACGGGTACCCGTTTTCGACCCTGGTGCGGCCGGGTACGGGTAAGGAATCAAAACCCGTTTGCGACCTCTGGTGTCGGGTTAGAACGTAGGCAGGAGGAGATACCTCCCTAGCGTATCGGCTGGAAGGGGCCGTTACCCCTTTGTGTTCTACAGTTGTTAATGTTACTAATAAACGAGTTGCCTCAGAGAAAGTTTCCTCTTGTTTGTACCCACGACATTATAACGAGCGGGGCACTTGGTCTGCATGATTGTAGATCAGGGGTGGGGAACATTTGGATATTTGCAACATCATTCGCGGGCCATACAAAATGATCAACTTAAAAATCAGCGCGTTATATTTGGTCAAACGTTTCATTAACTCGCCCCTAATGCGATGGCTGGAACTGCTTCTCTTTGGCGAGGCGTGCGGTGATGTTAGCTGCTGGTGTTGTTGATGATGTTGCTGCTACTCGCAACTGCTTTGCCAGGTTTGCTCCGAGATTTATTGAATTTCGAGTCCCGCCTGCGTTTGCCTTGGCAGGGCCACACACAATAAATTCGCGGACCTCGTACGGCCCACGGGCCGGACGTTCCCCACCCCTGTTATAAAGGGAGGTGCTCTTTGCGTGTTCTCACGACACGCCCTGAGCTTTGACGGAGAGAACGACGCTCACGGCCACCACAGCCACCGGGAGACACTGAAGGAGTCTGCGTCACGGCCCACCATCCGTAGATCCACTCGACTATTTTGTCCCACCTGTCAATGAAGCTGAAATCACTCCGTCATTCGACTGCAGGACTATGCCTCTTTGTAACGGCACCACTGCCTCCTGGAATGCCATTTCGTTAGCGACGTCCTTTTTGTCCTGGAGGAAAATTCCTGCGTGGATCGGCCCAAGTAATGGAAGAATGTAGGCCCAATATATGGGCCTCTGTGCGAGTCTGTGGGCCTCTATATTAGCCTATGGGTCTGTGTGAAACTGTAGGTCTCTACGTGAGTCTGTGGGTCTCTTTATTAGTCTATGGGTCTCTGTGTGAGACAGTCACTGTGTGAGTCTATGGGTCTCTGTGTGGTGAGTCTGTGGGTCTCTGTGTGATGAGTCTGTGGGTCTCTGTGTGATGAGTCTGTGGGTCTCTGTGTGAGACAGTCACTGTGTGAGTCTATGGGTCAATGCGAGTCTATGGGTCTCCGTGCGAGTCTGTGGGTCTCTGTGCGAGTCTGTGGGTGGATATATCAGTCTGTCTATTAACAGTGACCAGATTTCGCACGCTATTTGGGATCAAAAACATTCAACATAGCTGCCCCAAAGTGTTTCTAACCACTCAGTTCCGTCTCTTGGCATCTCTGTTCTGCCAACCTTCTGTCCTGATTTCAAAAGACTAATTAAAATCACGCACGTTTAATCGTGAATGTCATTTTACAACATAAGTGCCATTATTTGTTGTGGTTTGTGTTTTGTGTAAATCTTTAATTCGTGGAATGCTTTGATGTTGTCTGCCACCCGAGTTGCCCTTGAAAAAGAGCTTCCAAGCCCAGTGGGCTTCACTCAGGAAAGAAAACTCTCCTGGTTCTGACTTTCAAGTGCGTGAGTGAGTAGATACATGGGTGAGTGAGTGGGTGAGCGGTAATACAAGCGTGTGTGATGACGCTGTGTGACGCGTCACCACTCACTCACAAACTCACCCATAATTCCATCTCTTCTCCAGCCCCTACCATTCACTCACACACTCACCCACTCACACACCTACCTACCCACTCACCCACCCACCTACCCACTCACCCACTCATCCACCCACCCATCTACCTACCCACTCACCCACCCACCTACCCACTCACCCACCCTACTCATCCACCCACCTACCTATCTACCCACTCACCCACTCACCTACCTACCCACCCACCCACTCACTCACCCACCCACCCATCTACCCACTCATCAGTCCATCTCTCCTCCAGCCCGTGCTACGAAGATGACGACGAGGCAGACGCCGTGGCCCTGGCGAGGGCAGCTCGCAGCTCTGCCACCTCGCGTTTGAGCGCCGCATTCTGGCTCTCCAGGAAGGCAGCGCGCACTGCTATCTGGTTCTCCTTGAAGCGCCGAGCCTCCCGCGAGCGCTGTGCCGCACGGTTGTTCTTGGTGCGCCGCTGCCAGTACTTCTCGTCCTACGGGCAGCGTGGGAGACGCGGGGCGGGGTTATAGTGGTTGCCGGCCTTCACCGGCGCTGCTGCTGCCGCTGCTACTACTGAGCGATGGTGGTGGAGGTGGTAATGGTGGTGATGATGGTGCGAATCGCTAACAGCACTTGCCCCTACAGCCTGGTAGAGGCTACACAGTGGTTCTTTGTCTTTAGTGGTAATGGTGGTGGTGGGTGGTAGTGATGGTGGTGGAGGATGCGGTGCTACTTACTAACAGCACTTGCCCCAATAGTCTGTTCAGGCTACACAGTGGAGCTTTGTCTTTAGTGGTGGTAGTAATGGTGGTGGTAGTGATGGTGGTGGAGGATGAGGTGCTACTTACTAACAGCACTTGCCCCTACAGCCTGGTAGAGGCTACACAGTGAAGCTTTGTCTTTAGTGGTGGTAGTAGTGATGGTGGTGGTGGTAGTGATGGTGGTGGAGGATGAGGTGCTACTTACTAACAGCACTTGCCCCAATAGTCTGTGCAGGCTATACGGGGGATCTTCGCCTTTGTCTCTGCGTGTGTCTGAGCCACAAATGGTAGCTCAACCAAGAGGCCGATATGATTGTTAGCACGCAGGAAATCATCACGTGGAGAAAAGTCCTTCAAAAGGAGCGATGGTAGTTCTAAACGTGGAGGACCTCAAGTGACCACCACGGGGAGAGAGACACGCAAACTCCAAATCTACAGCAGCAGCAGGCGTCATCAGCGTCGGGATTGAACCCACGACCTCCCGCACACCAGGCGAGGTAGTTAACATCTCCTAGCCACACTGGTACCCCCGGCTCAGTAGGCCTTACCTGTTAAAATAAAAAGTAGTTAATACTATGAGACCTCCTTTATCAGTGGCAAAATATAGTAGTAGGTTTTTACCCTTTAAACTGGTACTGCCTTTTGGCGTCATCTGGTCCAACACCAATGGAGACTAGGCTCTAAGAAAAGCTGTCTCGGGTGTGGACCAATCAAATTCAAGGACAGTGCATATCATTATCAGAGTTGTTTCTTTTTGTTTGCATTTTTGACTGCTGGTGTTGTGGTCATTGCAAACATGATGCCTTGTATAAAGGTGTCAGTTTTGTACCAGTTGAAAGGGTAAACACCTACAAGTAGTTAATAGTTAAATAGGTTCACAATCTACACGGTCATCTTCCCTCCATACCCCTCCCCCCATCCCACGTGCCCCCCCCCCATCCACCCCTCCCCCCCCCCCCACCTTGCGGTCGTCAGGCACGTAGACCTTGCGGGCCTTCTTCACGATGGGCTGTGGCTTGAGCTCGTCCGGCGAGAAGCGGCGACGCCGCGGGTCAAAGGGCTCCTGGCCCGGCACGGTGGACAGCGCCACGTCCGTGGGGCTCGCCACAAACTCCACCTTCACCTCCACCTCGTCGTCCACCTCGGCGTCCACCTCTTCGCCCTCCGGCGCCGGCCGCCGTGGCTTCTCGGCGGCTATGGCCGTGGGATCCTTGCTGCTGGGTTTGGTTGACGACGGTGGTGATGGTGGCGATGGTGGCGATGGTGGCGATGGGTGTCGTGGTAACGAGGAGGAGTTGTCTGGACCACCGCCGCTGCTGCTTCTGCCCGTGACGTCAGCTGCTCTGTCGCCTGTAGGAGTGTACGCAGGAGGTCATGGGTTCCATCACAAACCCCGACGGTGTTTGTTGTTTTTCGATTTAAAGCTTCTTTCGTGACTGCAGGGATTCATCTTCTTGGTTCTTTCGGTATAGTCATCACGTAGAAGGGAAATAATAAAATAATAAAAATAAAACATAAATATGCTGAATTCCTCTTGATATGCAAATTATTTTGTCAAGGCGCACTTCCCCCCTTCCAACCCAGCTTAAATATACACTCCAAGCGTGGTGCTGTTTCATTCAGACTCTGTCTCCCCGACAGACCTGGTCTTCACCTGAGGACGACCGCTTGCGTTGTGGCCGAAACGTCGTGAGAATTATTTTATTATGTTTTATTATTATTTTATTCTTTCCCTTCTACGTGACTTTACCGAAAGAACCAAGAAGGTATTTATTGTATATGTGGAGTTTGTATGAATGGCGGTTGTTTTTGTCTGCGTGTGTATCTCTGTATGTCTCGGGCACCACGGTGGTGAGATGTTATCTCCCTCGCCTCGTATACAGCAGGTCGTGGGTCCGATCCCTGCTGCTGTAGATTTGGAACTTGCATAACTCTCTCTCCCCGTGGCTGAGTGGATTTTTCTCCGGGTCCTCCGGTTTTCCCCTCGACATTCAGAATCAACGTCACGCGTTTTACCGAATTTGGCTGCTATACATTCCCACCTGATGACAAGCCACCACTTGGTTGAGCCATCATTCGTGAGGGCCGGGGTCGCTAAGATAAATTAGTCTACGAGTTTAAGAGCAGTTTATGGTTCTCGCTCGTGCCGTTTAAAATAAAAAATTTGATTTTCTTGGTGCTGGTTTCAGCAGCAGCGGCACTACACACGCAAATTACTCGGTTTTGACGAGACAGCGTGGCATCAGCAGTCAGGAACTAGAACCCAGTTTCCTAAGGAGAGAGAAAGAGGGTCCTAGTCTCTGTGACATCTGCCAGCTCGCCAGCATTTACTGATGCCGACTCTGGTTCTGCTGATGAGACGATGCATGTCAACGCCTTGCCAATACACACGTGGGCAGTGAACCAGCATTGTTCAAGAATGTGTGCATGTGCCTATGTTGGACTTCTTTGCCACCGTACGTAGCCAACCGGGCTAATTGGAGGTGCGGGGGAAGGACAACAAACAAAACACAAAAAGCAGTGATAAGTGAGTTTTCAATATAGATGATGATTTACAATTGCATAGCTGCAACAGTGTGTGCATGTCACCGATCCTTCAGGTGAGTGAGTGAGAGAATGAGTGAGTATCTGAATCTCTCCGTGCGTGAGTCTGCGAGTGAGTGAGAGGGTGAATCTCACTGATCCTATTGATCGAGTGAATCTGTGCGTGAGTCTGCGAGTGAGTGAGAGTGTGAATCTCACCAATCCTACTTCTCTCACCCACATCTCCCCCTCCTCCCGCCCCTCCCCCTCCCTCGCTCCCACCGCTGGTGTCCACCTCGAATCCGTCGAGGCCCAGGCCGGTGAGCTCCTCCTGCGACAAGAAGTCGTCCAGGTCCATGTACTCGAGGGTGAAGGCGTGGCCGTCGTAGGGGATCGTGCGGTCCCAGATGGCGGGGCCCAGGAAGGCCGCACGCGCCACGCTGGCGGCAATCCCACGGTCCCCCGAGGGGTCCGGGGGCGGGGGGGCGGAGGAGGGGGGGGGGAGAACGCCCCCCCCCGGGGACACCTCACCGCCCATCCCCAGCACGACCTCCGCAATCAGCTTCTTCTCATCGTCGCCTGCGTCGCGTGCGGAGGTTGGAGGGGTTACGGGGTGGGGTGGGACAGGGTGGAGTGGTACGGGGTGGGGTGGGACAGGGTGGAGTGGTACGGGGTGGGGTGGGACAGGGTGGAGTGGTACGGGGTGGGGTGGGACAGGGTGGAGTGGTACGGGGTGGGGTGGGACAGGGTGGAGTGGTACGGGGTGGGGTGGGACAGGGTGGAGTGGTACGGGGTGGGGTGGGACAGGGTGGAGTGGTACGGGGTGGGGTGGGACAGGGTGGAGTGGTACGGGGTGGGGTGGGACAGGGTGGAGTGGTACGGGGTGGGGTGGGACAGGGTGGAGTGGTACGGGGTGGGGTGGGACAGGGTGGAGTGGTACGGGGTGGGGTGGGACAGGGTGGAGTGGTACGGGGTGGGGTGGGACAGGGTGGAGTGGTACGGGGTGGGGTGGGACAGGGTGGAGTGGTACGGGGTGGGGTGGGACAGGGTGGAGTGGTACGGGGTGGGGTGGGACAGGGTGGAGTGGTACGGGGTGGGGTGGGACAGGGTGGAGTGGTACAGGGGTGGGGTGGGACAGGGTGGAGTGGTACGGGTGGGGTGGGACAGGGTGGAGTGGTACGGGGTGGGGTGGGACAGGGTGGAGTGGTACGGGGTGGGGTGGGACAGGGTGGAGTGGTACGGGGTGGGGTGGGACAGGGTGGAGTGGTACGGGGTGGGGTGGGACAGGGTGGAGTGGTACGGGGTGGGGTGGGACAGGGTGGAGTGGTACGGGGTGGGGTGGGACAGGGTGGAGTGGTACGGGGTGGGGTGGGACAGGGTGGAGTGGTACGGGGTGGGGTGGGACAGGGTGGAGTGGTACGGGGTGGGGTGGGACAGGGTGGAGTGGTACGGGGTGGGGTGGGACAGGGTGGAGTGGTACGGGGTGGGGTGGACAGGGTGGAGTGGTACGGGGTGGGGTGGGACAGGGTGGAGTGGTACGGGGTGGGGTGGGACAGGGTGGAGTGGTACGGGGTGGGGTGGAACAGGAGAGGAATTGAGCGTTAGCCGAGCGAGAGCCGGGAGGCTCACCGAGTCTCAAGACTCCAGTTCAGGAGGAGGAGTTCTCGCAAACGTCTCACAGCGAGAGAGGGAGATTACTTTGCTGTGCAGGTCTGGCGTAGGGAACTCCCGCCCTCCCCCCCCGCTGGCAGATATCCCCGTGCATTCGGCCCGACATTGGTGTTGTAAACGCGCACAGAAACATTTCCCATTGACTTGTCAAGGGATTTTGCAACATCCGTAGTGAGCGAAGTGGTTAACACGCGTGCGCACACACGCACACTCAACAACAACCCCCATTCGCCACTAAGTGGCGGTGACGTCACTACGACGCTTGTGCCAGGCCAAGTGCACCTTGAGGCCACGTGAAGTGTCGAACGCGCACACACACACGCACACACACGCGCACACGCACGCACACTCACACACGCACGCACACTCACACACGCACACTCACACACGCACGCACACACGCACACACACACGCACGCACACACGCACGCACACACGCACGCACGCACACACGCACGCACACTCACACGCACACATACACGCACACACACACGCACGCACACACTCACACACGCACACACGCACGCACACACGCACACACACACGCACACATACACGCACACACACACGCACGCACACTCACGCACGCACGCACACTCACACGCACACATACACGCACACACACACGCACACATACACGCACGCACGCACACTCACACACGCACGCACACGCACACACACACGCACGCACACACACACGCACACACACACACTCACACGCACACTCACACGCACACATACACGCACACACACACGCACGCACACTCACACGCACACATACACGCACACACACACGCACGCACACACTCACACACGCACACACGCACGCACACACGCACACACACACGCACACATACACGCACACACACACGCACGCACACTCACACGCACACACACACGCACACACACACGCACGCACACACACACGCATACACGCACGCACGCACGCACACACACACGCACGCACACTCACGCACACACGCACACACTCACGCACACACACTCACGCACACACGCACACTCACACTCACACACTCACGCACACACACTCACACACTCACGCACACTCACACGCACACATACACACGCACACACACACACACACACGCACACACACACACACGCACGCACACACGCACACACACGCACGCACACACGCACACACACACACGCACACACACACACACGCACGCACACACACACGCACGCACACACGCACACACACACACGCACACACACACGCACGCACACACGCACACACACACACGCACACACACACACACACACGCACACACACACACACACACGCACACACACACACACCACCACACAACGCACGCACACACGCACACACACCACACGCACACACGCACACACGCACACACGCACACACGCACACACGCACACACACACGCACACACGCACACACACACACGCACACACGCACACACTCACACACTCACACTCACACACACACTCACGCACACACACTCACACACACGCACACACACACACACACACGCACACACACACACACGCACACACACACACACGCACGCACACACGCACACACACACACGCACACACGCACACACGCACACACGCACACACGCACACACGCACACACACACGCCACACACGCACACACACACACGCACACACGCACACACTCACACTCACACACACACTCACGCACACACACTCACACCACACGCACACTCACACACACACACACACACGCACACACGCACACTCACACACACACGCTCACACACACACGCACACACGCACACTCACACACACACACTCACACACACACTCACACACACACGCACACACACTCACGCACACACACACACACACGCACGCACACTCACGCACACACTCACACACACGCACGCACACTCACGCACACACACACGCACACACTCACGCACACACACTCACACACTCACGCACACTCACACGCACACATACACGCACACACACACACGCACACACACACTCACACACGCACACGCACACACACGCACACACACACTCACACACGCACACGCACACACACACACGCACACTCACACACACACGCACGCACACACACACGCACACTCACACGCACACACACACGCACGCACACACACACTCACACACACACTCACACACGCACACGCACACACACGCACACACACACTCACACACGCACACGCACACACACGCACACTCACACACACACGCACGCACACACACACGCACACTCACACGCACACACACACGCACGCACACACACACTCACACACACACTCACACACACACGCACACACTCACGCACACACACTCACACACTCACGCACACTCACACGCACACACACACACACACACGCACACACACACACGCACGCACACACACACGCACGCACACACGCACACACACACACGCACACCACACACGCACGCACACACGCACACACACACACGCACACACACACACACACACGCACACACACACACGCACACACACACACACGCACACACACACACACGCACGCACACACGCACACACACACACGCACACACGCACACACGCACACACGCACACACGCACACACGCACACACACACGCACACACGCACACACACACACGCACACACGCACACACTCACACACTCACACTCACACACACACTCACGCACACACACTCACACACACACGCACACACACACACACACTCACGCACACACACTCACACACACTCACACTCACACACACACTCACACACACACTCACGCACACACGCACACACACTCACGCACACACGCACCGTTAACTAGAGCAGACTGACGGATCCGGAACCACGAATCACCTGCGGCGATGGATGGCCGAACAACGAACCCTCGACCCATGGTAAAGGTTTTTTGGGTTTAGATCGCGTTATTATTTATAAATGTGTCGTAACCCTCCACCACCCGACACGGCCAATCAGTAAAAAAAGTTCCAGATTTGAAGCTTTCGTGACTGCAAGGATTCATACTCTTAGGTTTTTTCGGTAAAGTCACGTAGGTGAAAAATAAAAAATATAGAAATAATATTATTAGAAAAAAAAAATAGAAATACTATTAAAATAAAAATACATAATAAAAATAAATAATACAAATATTTGAGGTGCTGTTAAAATAAATATATATAAAAAATAAAACTGTTTGAAATACTGTTATTGACATTTAAATAAATAATAATAGAAATAATATCATTTCCATAATTTTTATTACTTCTTTTCATTTTTACCTACGCGACTTTACCGAAAAAACCTGAGGGTCGTAAAAAATGTGTCACGTTGACAAAAGACAAAGGTTCACTACTTTAGCCCTATTTCGCTTTTGTCAACGTGACACTTTTTTCGCTGATTGGCCGTGTCGGGTGGTGGAGGGTTACGACACATTTATAAATAATAACGCGATGCAACCCAAAAAAAACTTTATCATGAATGATATTGGTCGCGAGAGCCTACGTGTTAAACGAACCCTCTACCCCACCACCACCGGGGGTAAGGCCGGCCGAGTGTGTGGGGCGAGTCTTCGTCTAACAGCGGCCGCAACAGAACGTCAACCGAAAGCCATTTCCCCGTAAGTTCAAAGTTCGTGTATTAGGTGTAGCCCTGTGATGCCATTCGGCTCTTGAATCGGGTGCAACCGCAACAAACAAAAACACAAAAACATGAACAAGAAAACATCTTAAAGTGAATATGTGACTAAGTGCAAACAGAAAATCCAAGAAAAGACAGCAAAATATTTCAGAAAAAATCACCGTACACCAACACTGTGCAAATATCCCAGTGGGATGCAAGTCAAACAACAACAACAACCACAAGACAACTTAGATTAAGGCCATCAGTCTAACTCTGTACGACAACA